TGTCAGGATTGCCAGCTTGGCAAGACGAACCACTGCGAGCTTGTGAGCTAGGGTAGATTGCTGTGCAACGGAGAGAGAGAGGAGAAGACAAGGAAAGACAAGGAAAGCATTCTGAGGAGACACGACCTTATCAGCCATCACCGAAGTGAGATCTGTGTTGACCACCCTTCATGATGCCATACATGGAGAGATCCTCTATTCAGCTAACTACAGGAAAGGTCCTCACCGGCCTTTTCGCACACTTAGCAGATTGGCCATCAACACACAGACAGACAGACAGACAGAAAAGGTCGACAGACGTGTGTGCCGTCGGTGTTACAACCAACTGCACACACACACCCAGACGCAGCCATCATGCCATGCACGCTGTCGACGTGTGCATCTTGCGTGCGCGGTGCGTGTGTGTACAAACGTCGCGGTTGGATGTGTGGATGGTGAATTATTGCTGCTGCTGACGTCTCTACACGTCTTGTGAACCAACGACCTGCACACAGACACACCGACAAAGCAATCTCCCCATTCGCGTGCACTTGCATCTCTGACTTGCATCTGTGGTGCATGTGCTCTGAAACCCGCCTCTCCACCCGCAAAAAGCCAAGCCTCACTGCAACGATCGGCAAATGCGAGCTTAGAGATGCGAAAGGAAGGAGGGAACGCAAAGATGCGCAGCAGAGAGGAAGGCCGCACACCCATCGTGGGAATGTGGATCGAAAAGATGTTGACTCAGATTCGTCCGCCGCAGCCGCAGCTGGAACCAGACCAGCTGTGTGAACGAGTGCTCAAGCTCAGCCCGGTGGACGAAGAAGAAACGAAAATCTGCGATACCGTCAACGGTGCGCACCGCATGCAGCCACACACAGACGGACTGACTGACTGACTGTATGCACGTGTGACGGACTTGATGATGGACTTTCTCCTCTTTGGACTGCAGCCACCATGCCCATATGGCGTTCGATGACGGTGAGCGACCCACAGCAGACCAGACCATCGAGGGCATCCGAAGAGAGCACATGGATGGATGGATGGACGCGTCTGTATATGTGTGTATGTCTGTGTGTTGTCTGTCGTGCGTGCAGGAGGAAGAGAAGGAGGCCGTGCTGGAGCAGTTTAGGGAATTCCCAGGTAGGTATCCACATCCACCCAGTGAACGGCTGCATGCCTCATGTGGTCATATGTGCCTGCGTGTGTGTGTGTGTGTGTGTGTGTATCCAGAATATGCCAGTGAGCAGCACCTCACACACAACATTATCAACACAGACCATTCCCCGCTTTCTGACTGCCCGGCCGGGTATGCCTGTCTGCCGCAGCTCTCAGCGACGCGCAGAAAGAGGCATTGGGGGACCTGGCCGCTGTGTACAACAGCTGTGCGGCCATCGAGCTCCTTGAGAGGAAGGCTGCAGCTGCTGCACGACTACCACACAACAGACTGATACGGTGAGTGTGTGTGGGGGTCCGGCCGGTGGGTGTCTTTGCTGCCTGCCTCAGTCAGTCGCCCACCGTGTGCGCCTGCCTGCGTGTGTGCGTGCAGGTACTTGAGTGACACCTTCAGGTCCCTTCTGTCGTGCACTTCTCCCTCAGCTGAAGCCCCCGCTGCCCCTGACGGACCCCTTGAGGAGGAGGAGGAGCTATCGCCCACCGACACACACGTGCACACGGAGCGGTCAGTCAGGTGTAGGAGGCAGCAGAGTAAGCCTGACGACAGTAGTAGCAGGAGGCCTCTGCTGCCCGCCAGATAGAACAAGGCAAGATTTCCAGACTGACAGACAGACGGACAGACAGACAGTCACATTAGTGGCGGCGGGCGGACAGTCAGTCGCAAGGCCAGTAGCTGTCCAGACAGGGGCTGGACTGGTTTTTGAGTCAGGGTGGGTGCTGGCTGCATGGGGGATGAGAGTGATGGAATGAATGGTCTATACTGACTGAGTCAGGTAGTTCGATTGTCGGACTCTGACCCAACAGACGTCTTGTGTCGCGCTGCTCTGTACATCGCTCGTTTGTTATTGCTACGCATCGGTGCAGTCCCCCGGGCGCTCGTCTGTGCGATATATGGGCCAACACGCCCTCGACACACACGCACACACGCACGAAGCGAGGAAGGGATAGCTACTGAGGCACGCAGAGAGACAGCCAAGCACCAGGGGAGGGCACGATTGGTAGCCATCATACCTGCGTCTCCCTCACATGATATATATATATATATACACACACACACAGGTCAACCCCCTGGGTGAGTATGTCACACATACAGACGCCCTCGACACTCAAAGCCGCCCAGAACAACGCAGAAAAGAGTCAGCCAGTCAGTCAGTCAGTCGCTCAGAACTGAAAAAGTGTAGCTATTTGGCTGATCAGCTGGTTAGCAGCGGAGGTGAGGCGGAGGTTCTCGGCACGCAGAGAGAGCTCAATGCTGCCGACAGACAAGGCCACTCGATAGCTGCACACATACAACAGACAGACAGGTGAACACACGACGCCTTTCCTCTCGTGTGTGACGCCCTCTCCCTCACTCACCGCGTGACGTCACTCTTGTTGCCGTCGGTCTTGGGCGGCAAAACGGCCGTGATCTTGCCCTCAAGACCATTGTATTCCGGCCGGGTCACCACACCACACACCCACACGTCACTCTGGACGCCAAACGACACACCAGACCTGACACACACACACACACACAGACCAACAGGACACTCACTCACTGACTCACTGGTGCATTGTCCTCTTCCTGAGTCATCCCACCCACCCACCCGATCTGTTGGCGCGTCACGCGCGAGATGGACTTCTGACAGCCGGTGACCCGGGCGTCGGCGTGGCGCAGAACCGCTCGCGCGTCCTCCACGTCTCTGTCCCACTTGAAGGCCTCTGCTATCGCCTCGGGTGTCTTGTGGACGGTGGCCACGCGCTTCCAGGCCTTTTCCAGCTCATCCCGAGCCGCGAAAAGCCCAAATTGGAAGATGGTCTGATGCTCCTGCAGCTTTTCGAGGGTGTCGAGGTTGTCGGGGTTGATATAGGGGGCGAGGCCGGTGAATGCTTGCACAGAACAGTAGTTGGCGAGCCAGGTGGCGACAGTGCCGTCCGCCTCCTCGACGCTCACATTGCGGAACGGGCCGCCCTCAGGCTCCGGGCTGAGGGTGGGCGAGGGTGTTGTGGGCCTCTGAATCCGCTCAAAGAGAGTGCACTTCTGCAAACACATACACATACACAGACACATACACACCGACGGAGCCGTCCGTCCGTCCGCTCACTCGCTCACTTTGCGGCAGACAGGGCAAGGAAAGCTTCCATCATGTAGCGAAGAGATCATGGTGCCGCGTGTCGTCATGTTCTTGAGATCTGACCAAGAAGATACCTCGCCCTTCAGGCACTGCAGCCAGTCAGCCAACCAACCAACCAACCAACAAAGCACTCAGGCAGGCACGTCTGTGTTCATTCGCGCATTTCCTCACCTCAAAGCAGAAATAGTGATTGCATTTCATCGTCACGAGGTCCGTCTTGCCGGCGAACGGTTCGCAGCAGATGAGGGATGGTGTAGCGCTTGGGCAGCGTGTAGACCACCGTAGCCATTGACGAACGAACTGCTGCACACAAGCAGCCGACGCACAGCTATACGTTAGGGGATAGTGGACGGCATGTGCAACCGTCACCTGATGACGAGCGTGATGCGGCGGCCGACGAGAGGCGAAAGCAAAACCGAACCTGACAGCCACCTGCCGACGGACACACACCCTGCCACACACATACACACACACGCATGGAATGCCACACGAGGATCCATGCGTCGTGCACGTGTGTCCGATCTCACCTGCTGGCTGCGGAGTCCGACGCAGCCCAGCAGCACTTGCACAACGCGCTGACAGTCAGCGCACATGACATCTCTTTTTGCCACAAAAGAGCACGCACACATCGGCGGATGGGTACGTGGACCCGCCTTTGCATCACTCGTGCATTGCTTTACCTGATAGACAAGCGATGGAATCGGCGCAATTCTTGAGCTCCCTTCTCGTGACCTTCTCGTACCCTTCTCAAAGACGATACCGAGAAGTCAACAGCATGTGGCGTGCAGCTTCCATAGCTCAGTGGTAGAGCGTACGCTTAGTAAGCGTAAGGCCGTGAGTTCGAAACTCACTGGAAGCTCTTTACTGCTGTCGCTGGTGATAGTGTTTGTTTGACTGACCTGTGACTCTCCGTGTTTGTCTGACCATCTCTCTTTTGTCGAGTCATGCTTCCGCCATAGCTAGACCTCAAGATTTGTTTTCCATTCTTTGTCATCGGTTCCTGGCCGGCCAGGTGAAGGAGTGACTGACTGTCAGCCTGGCTGGCATCCTGGAATCGTGTCACAACGTATGTGCCGATCCGATCGGCTCACGGTGTGTGTAGAAGCCCGCGACCACAAATATCCGCCCGTGACAATCATGCATATCTGTCTGTCTCTGTCAAACCACCTCATGCAATTCCCTCCTCCCTCCCTCCCTACTCACTCCCACTCGACTCGGCCGCATAAATGCCGTCTGTCTGCATTCATTGTGTGTACGTGCTTGAAAGTAACCTCAACGAATCATTCATTCACTCACTCGCTCGCTCATTCTTACAAATACACAAACAAAACACATTACACTCATACGTGGGTGGCCCTCACTCACCTACAGGCGAACATCTGTCTGGTGGTATCTATAGTACAGACCCCTCCCTCCCTCACCCCCTGCTGTCTGTTTCGTTCCCCCTCGTCGAGAGCGATTTCAAGCCCCTGAAGTGCGGCTTGAGCGGCACACCGGATGCCGCAGGCGCCAACAGGCCACTGCTGTGCTCACTCGTGCTGGACACCCGGCCGTCATGTGACGAGTGGGCAGACATGCCCCCGTCCTGCCTGACAGCAGCCGAACCCGCATCGAGAAACCGCCGCTGCAGACCACTGCCCTCATTGCTGTCGTGGTTCGCCGTGGGCGGCGGCTGGTCAACCACCGAGGTTGACAGGTAGTTGCCCATGCGCCAGTAGAGCCGCTCGTGAATTGCCCTCCCTTGCGAGATCCTCTTGTGCCGGTGCACTGGGCTGGGCACACTGGCGGCCGGATGGGGACGTGACGGCGAGGGTGCAGAGGGGAGGGCACCGATGGGTGGCATCGACGGCGGCAGGGGCGGCCGACTGTGCCGGTGCGGGGCCTCGCGATGATCCGCCCTCCTCCCAGTGCTCACCACAGGGGACAGATCGCCCACAATCCTCGGGAGAGCTATAGAGGCCACGTCGGCACGCTGAGGAGAAGAACGGTCCGCCGAGTGCCGCCGACGCCGGGCATCACTCATGAGTGGGAAGGTATGGTTGAGAATCGGGCTGGCATCGGGTGCATCCGTCCACCGCGGTGCGGGGCTGGCGGGGGTAGATCTGGCAAGCCGCCACGGTGCCAGCTGCGGTGAGGACAGCAGTGAGGGAGAGGGGGACTGGTCGCCAGCAGCAACCAAGGCTTCGAACAGCTGCAGACACACACAGAGGCATCACACGATACTGGCTTGGTGACCGTGTCATGTTTGTACCTGTTTTGCTTCGCGGAACGGAATCCCTTGTGAGCTGCTGGCAGGTGAGGGCGCCTCCCCACAGTCGGTGCCGGTGCGGCAGCTCTCGGCGCCCTCCGATTTCCGCCGCTCTCTGGGCCTGGGTGGGTCCATCTGCCGCTGCTGCGGTGGTGACCCGCTGGCGCGCCCCCTCTCCCACAACATGCGCTGAAGCAGAGGGATGAAGCTCTCGGACGAGCGGTCTTCGCCACGGATCTTCTCGTAGAGGCGGGAGAACACCTTGTCCCTGTCAGAGGCCTTCTTGGACGAGTAGAGGCGCATGTAGTGCTCTATCATCTCTATGTGGTGCTGCTCCCGCTGGGTGCGAAAGAACAGCTGCTCCTGACTCACAGACACGCAGCCACCAACCAACACGCACACATCGGCGCTTGGGCATACACACAGCGAGGAGAGTGCTGTCTGGCGCACCAGGCTCTCAGTAGAGTTGGGATGCTGCAGCTTCTCGCGAGCCTTCGCGTGTTCTTCCCTCTCATGACGCGCTGCAGCACACAGTGGCAGATCCATCACGCCTTAGTGCCTCATGAATGCAATGAGTGCTCGTCTGTGTAACTAGGTGGCAAGTTGGCACCTTGATTCTGTTGCTGCTGGCGGAAGCCTTCGGGGTTGAGGGCGCTGGACGAGGTGTGCTCATCCTTCCGCTCGAACAGGGCCCTCAGCTTGCGGACGTCAGCTTTCTGCTCCTCCTCGCCATTGTCCTCGTCTTCCTCCGCATCGACACCCACATTGGCCTCATCACCACCGCCGTCAGCCATCATCCATATCTCTATTCAGCCCTTTTTGCTGATCGCCAACATTTGCGAGCTATGTAGGGCGGCAGATCTTGGCGTGTCAAGGAGAGCGAAGAAGAGGCTGCAGACGTGTGTAGCAGCAAGTAGGAAGCACGATGGCAGCACAAAGGCTGACAGCTTGATTTTCGTTGCTGTGCTTGCTGCGGTTGTTGTTGGCAGGATGGCAGGGGCAGTCGTGGAGCTGGGCGAATACATCGTCAGGGGTCAGTCAGAACGCGCAGAGCACAGCAACACAAGAAGGATGGACACGTGAGCCTTTCTTCCCTCTCTCTCTTCTCATTCTGTGTTGCATCTGCCCACCCACCCACCCATCCTCCTTCACTCACTCACTGTCCACACAGAGTCTCACAATCCCGAGAATCTGCATGCGGTCGAGTTGGCCGACGAGATGAACAACATCCTGACGGCCATGAAGCTGGCGTGCAAGGTCATCAACCGGGAGATATCCAAGGCCAACACATACGGGGTGGACACCACCAGGTCGGGGCTCGCAGAGGACATGCCCTCACTCGCCAACAGGCGCTTCCTCGACGCCATGGTCAACAGAGAGGTCAGTGAGTGAGTGGGTGAGTAGAGAGGGGGGCGTCCTGTGACCACGAATCGACTTGTGTGCCTTGCGCGTCTGTCTTAGGTGGTTGCGGGCATTGCCACAGCGTTCCTTGACGACTTTGTGGCCATCCCCAACTGCAAAAACAAGGGGTGAGGGGCAACCCAGGACACACAGCAGGCATGCACAGTGAACAAACAAGAAAGACACTTCTGATGCTTTCTTTGTCTCGATCAACAGGTTGGTGCTGCTGATCCATCCGCTGGACGGCAGTCGGCAGATCGATCTCAACGTGTCGGTCGGGACGCTATTCTCCATCTACAAGAGGTTAACACTGCGCAGCACAGCACAATGACACTTACGAGGGCCAAGGGGCCACGTATCGGGGTGTGTTGATTGATTGCTTCAGAGTGACCAAGAAGGGCGACCCCGTTGAGTTGCGTGACTTCCTACAGCCGGGGTGCAACCAGGTGTGCGCCGGATACGTCATCTATGGCTCATCAACCATGATGGTATGTATCCCAAGCACACACACACACACACACACATGCTTAAAAGCAGCCCTTCCCCACTCTCTGTTTGGCCGCTGATATGTGCAGGTGTTCACGATGGGCAAGGGCGTCACCGGATTCACTCTCGTGAGCAACTCATGCCATATGCCGACACTGACACCCCCCCTCACCCACACCTACTCATTGAGTCTCTTCATGGGCATGGGTGGGATGCGTGTGTGCATGTAGGACCCGAGTCTGGGGACGTTGTATCTGTCCCATCCGCGCGTCAAGATCCCCCAGGACGGCAAAATCTACTCGGTCAACGGCGGCAAACGCAGGAGATTCCCAAAGGGCGTCACCGAATACATCGGTAGGAGGGCAGGGCAACAAACACACGGACGGGAGAGCAGCGGATGGATGGACCCTATGTGTGTGAGCGTCTGTGTGTGATCAGATTACTGCCAGGATCGTGCATTCTCTCTGCGCTACATCGGGTCGCCCATCGCAGGTCACCCACACAGGAGGGACCACAGGGGGGGAGCGAACGGTGGCTTCATGTGCCTGTGCACGTGTGCGTGTGTGTGGATCAGATTTCCACCGGAACTTGCTCAAGGGCGGCATCTACGTAAGATCGATGGACACATCGACATGGCCTTTCTGTACTGCCCGCCAGAATATTCAGCTATCTCCCTTTCTGTGATCCTTCCTGTGTGTTTAGATCTATCCCCCCGTGAGCCATCCACACACAACATCTGTGGCTGTCGCACCACACAACGCAAAAACCACACAGCCAACAATACCCTCTGTTCGTCGGCCATTCGTATTGTTTGTGTGCAGACGTTTGTGGACCCGAAGCCGTCTGTGTCGATGGTGTTTCAGTGCAACCCCCTCTCATTCCTTGTCGAACAGGCCGGAGGCAAAGCCAGCGACGGGTGGGGTGGGTGGGGGGGCAAACACGACACGGACGAATGGATGGATGCATTGTGGTGACCCTTGTATGTCATATCGATGTGTGTGTGTGTGTGTGTGTGTGGTGTCAGGTTCACGCGCATCCTGGACATCGAGCCGACGGCACTGCACGACCGCATCCCATTCATCTGCGGTGGGTCAACGACTTGGGGCGTGTCGAGCCATTGCATGCATCCATTTGTGTGTGAGCGTCTGTGTCTGTGTGTGTGTGTGTGCGTCAGGGAGCCCACTGATGGTCGAGAAGGCCGAGGGTTTCATGGCCAGAAGTGAGCGAGACACACACAGATGCACACAGACACCCACAATCGATGGATGTAACGGATTCTGCTGTCGCGCCCCCCTGCACCTGTGTGTGTGTGTGTCTGTGTCGCAGAGAAGATGGCCGACGGTGGCTGGTGCTTCTCGAGGCAGCCGGCGGTCAACGGTAAGAAATGAGGTGTCAGCCGCTCGTCCCTCTTCAATCCATTTTTCTCCGAAATGCAAGACAAGACGAGACGATGCGGCCACACATCCAATGGATATGCGGTGGCCTTGTGACGTGATGCCTGGACTGGCAGGGAGGGAGGGATGGGGGAATGGAAGCCGAGTGCCTGTCGTGTGCACTTGTCTGCTGCCTATTTTTGACATGCATGCGAGCCTGTGTGCCATTACGTCTGTGTGCGTGTTGGAGGGCATTATTTCTCATCGGGGGGCTTATTTCCTGGCGTGGCGACAAGGGCATCGCGATGCGGTTGGGCGTGTCCACGTTGGATAGTATGTGGCTGGCGAACCGACCTGTGTACAATTTTGACTGACTCAATGGACAGAGTCATGGAAAGCGTCACCACGATGTCCATCCAGTACAGCCGATGATGACCGACCTAAAGGAAGACATAACGATGCCGAAATAATGCCTGACTGACTGACTGACTGCATCCAGCACACATCGGTCGATCAAGATAGAGGCACATGCACACTGCGAAAGCACATGCACTAATCGCCAACACCAGCACCAACACAAAAACTTACTCTCCACTACCCTCCTCTGTCGGAGCAATCCCAAGCCACTTCTGTATCCTCTCTAATAGGCTCATGAAGAAGGGCGGCGACGGATTCGACAGCACATCTGACATCGGGGGCTTGGGAATGGCCTCAGTATGCAGGGTCGCCTCGGGGAACGCCCTCCTGAACCGCCTCAAATCTGTCATCAGAGCCTCTTTCTTCCTTCTGCGTCTCTCGTCAGGCCCTTCAGCTGTTCCCGCATATTCAGCCATGGCCTTGACCTTCCTCTCCTCCCCCTCTCCATAGAGATTCCTCCTCGTCCTCAGCGAGACCTCCCTCACAGTCGACATATCTTCGGTGCGGACTTCGAACATATCCTCATCTCGCTTCTGCCACTGCTGGGCGATGTGGTGGTCGTGTCTCCGCCTGAAGGCCGCCTGGCGAGTGTCCTCGGCTATGTCGGGCAGCCGTGTGGGCACGTAGATGTTTCTGGGCATGTGGTACTCGTATTCCTGCAGGTAGAGGGCGGCTGCATGCACTGCCAAGCGAGTCAGCTCCTGACACAGGCATAAACACAGCAGCAGGACAAGTAGGAGCTTCCGTGTAGCCCGTCTCTTCCAGGTCGTTACCTTGGTGGGGTCTTCTTCAGGCTGTGCCTCCTCTCTCTGTGGCAGCAGGCTCATGTCGGTGTCTCGCTCATCCGGGAACCGCAGCACACTGTTTGCCCATGCATACGGGATGCGGTGCCGCACGTCAGCGTCGATCAGCTGCTCTACTGGCGTCTCTCCTCCCTCCTCACCCCCTTCATACGGTGCCGTATCCCCCTCGCCATCCCCTTCTTGTTTGAATCCCATGGGATCGTCGTGGTACAAATCACGTACATTGAGCATCACCTCGTCCAGGATGTCCCGCAGGGGAGACAGCACATCGTAGGATGGTGAGAGGCCCGCCGACTGCAGGTATTCGACGTAAGCTTCCACACTGTCCATCGACCATATCCGCGGGTCCAGGGTCAGCCGCAAAAGACACGCAAACGCCTGTAGTTGATGAGTGAATCGCACATATACAGCAGAGAGGGAGACATAAGGGATTGTGGTACCGACTCACCTTTTTCAGCTCCATTTTCGGCCCTGCGTTGTCAAGGGCATGCTGAAGGTTGTTCAGGGGACCTGAGCGCATACAAAGAGGGATGCAGCACATGAGTCGAATCGAGTATGCCGCAAGCGCACCTTGAGAGACGCCAAGTTTCTCGAGCACCACAAGGGCCTTCCTGCTCATCGGCCGTGTCCTGAGGTTCCACTTCAGCCTGGAGCCCCTCCTCCTCCATCAATGCCGCCGCCTGCTCGTCAATGCGAGTGGGCCATTCTGCACCCTCTCCCTCCTGGCCTTCGCTGTAGAAAGGCAAATGGCCAGATAAATGAGACACTGAGATACAAGCCAAAAGGTGTCCTACGTCTGTATCAATGCCCTCGGGCATAAGCATTGGGGCGTCGGGGGCCAGGTCGACCTTGCGAATGGCCCTCCCGACATAGTGGAGATATGGCAGCCGCTCCAGCAGGCGGACAACGATTCGTTGAGCGCGCAAGAGAAAGCTGCAAAAGAAGAGGAAGCCCAGGGGAGTGCGCTATGAAGTGTGTTCGACGCCGCTTACCCCATTTCAAGAGCTAGTGCGAGCACATGGGCTCCAAATACGGTCCAGAGGATGACGGCCACGGTGTAGCTGATGCCCTCCTGAGTGTGAGTCTGCCACGATAAGCTGAAGAAGAAACCGCCAAACTCGGCCGATATCAGACCAAACACTCGGCACCTGCTCGCATGGATCAAGAGACACAAACACGAAGAAATGGGTCGATACTAAGACTGCCCGCATGATGCACGTACCCTTCCAGAAGAGCCAGCAGATGACGGTGCATTGGGGCAAACGGAGCAATACTGCCGCACGGAAAGAAAGTACACACTCACGTGTGCAGACCACTTTCGTATGCCTCACTTGATGAGTATGAGCGCATATGCGATGGTGAGTGTCATCCCCGCCACCCACTGTGCAGCCCTCCGCTCCTCAGAGTAGAACACCACTATCAGCAGCAGCCGGTGAACCAGGACGAGGGCTAGGTGAACTGGCCAGGCGGATACTCCTGGTAACCCTGCCACACCCATCCCACAAATGCACGCCACCTGAACGAACACAGAACAGAAGGTGAGAAATCGTCTTCGCGTTTCGTTGGTTGTCGCTTTCCTTACTTGTCGTCAGCAGCCATTGTGTTGCGGTATCTGGCGAGGATGGCTATGTGTATGGTGGGAATGAGGACAGTCCAGATAAACAGGCCGGCGTACGCATAGGTGACCACTCCACCGTGGGGGTCCTGACCACACAACTGGACGGACAGACGGACAGCGAGACATGCTATCGGAGCATCTTATGTACGCACGTGTCTCTCTTTTCATCTTTACCCTGTCAAAATCCGGCACTAAATGCACCTCATCGGTCGACGTCAGCCGCCGACAGCGAAACACCTCTATAAAATACCTGAGCAACCATAACAAACAAGGCCCGTCCGATTCATACGAACAAGCAGTTGCGCACCTGGTGAGCATAGCATAGCACGAGTACAGGAGCAACAGGAAGGCCCCACACGTGACCACACGATACCTCAGCCTCTCCCTCTGACGCCTCTTCATACCCGTCGCCCCGCCACCCTCCCCCTCACCCCCAGCCTCAAGCCGCCGCCGCCTCATCCACTGACGCTCCTTACGCGCAAAGGGGAAGGCGAACGGAGGCACCAGGGGCGTCCCGGACTCCTTAATGGCGTGTCGAACGACATATGAAGATGCCACTGCTGCCGCCATGGCAGCAAGGGCAAGGGGAAAGAATGCGGTGATCTGGACTTTGGTCAGGAAGGGAGAGCCGCCATCCGACGGCTGCAGGGGAGACAAATGCACCTTAGTGAGAAAAACAGGTGTCCCCGTATCTGTGTGTGCAGGATAATTACTGAGATGAAGCAGTCGAGAGAGTCGATGAGGGACGTGATGAGGCTCACACTCATGATGGTCGAGCCGGCAACGGGGAAATTCGCCGTCATCGGCCTGCAAACAAGCGCAACATTGCCGGCAGTCCTTTGCTGTCCGCTCACCCACCTGAGTGTGCTGACGTCTTGCATGAAGTCGATAAATCCCCGCACCACGCACAGCACACGACTGAACTGTTCACCGCTGTGTGACGTCTCCTCCATCTCCCCAACAGACCAGTAGGCCAATGTCGCCAAGCCAATCGCCAGTGCGAGAAGAAGCCCGATGGCTGCGAGGCCCTGCAGCCCTTCACACGACTCACAGAGTGCGGCTGGCTTAGAGAGGGGCGGACGGTGCCCTGACGCACACTGCACTAAGGGAAGAAACACAAAAGGACTCACAGAGGCTGTATGCATGGATCGAATGTGTGATGAAAGGTGCCTCACCTGAGCACAGAGGACTCCCTGGCGCCCGTCAGCACAGCTGCTGTTGGCGAGGCACGCCGCCCTTATCGGACACGTCTCGCGGTAATCATACTGCGCCTTTGGGCCCAGCGTAGAACACAGCCTCTCCTGCAGCGATGGCTCTTGCCTCTCCGTGGCATTCGGCCCACTTGTCGCATTCTGTCCACTATCTGTGTCTCCGGTGGCGTTGAACTCTGCACAGTATGCTCTGAGTGTCCAGAACCCAAGGTAGTCGTCTTCAGGTCCGGTTGCACGGCAGTATTCGCCAGCCGTACATCGCTCGCAGCCTCCCCCCGCCCCCCTCTTGTACCCACTCGCACAGTAGCAATCATCAGCAATTGTCGCTCCTCGCTTGCCCGTCACTGATCGATCAAGAAACAAGAGCAGCACCAATTGTGCGTGTCTAGAGCACTCAGTCATGACGCACCTGTGTTTGGCCCGCATGTCTGGCATGCAGCAGTGGCCGTCTCCCCGCTCCAGGTGCCATCAGGGCATAAGAGACATTCGTCAATGTCGGCAGCCCCAGTCTGTGAGTACTTCCCCTCGCCGCACGGGTAGCACACGCCGTCTCTCCAGTACCTGCCTCCGGGACAAGGCAGGCAGCCGACCTCTGTGGGTGCAAGGCCCTCACTGCAGTTGAAGGATGAACAGGCGTCCGCGTTTGTCTCGGCGAGAGACGCGTTGCCAGGAAGACTGTCACAGCACACACACGTTTATGTCACAGTGGCACTGTGGCCCATTACGCACAAGCAGATATCAAGCGCCGGACGGGGAGGCGATGGCTGTGAGGATTCATTCGCACTCTGGAGATACCTGACGACGGACAGACGGGGAGTGCCCGCATGGATGTCTGCGTGGCCTGTCTCGCTTTGTCTCACCTTGTCCCATGCGCCGCCTCCCCGTGCTCATCCCATTCGAACAGGCCTGAAGTGCCCCCAGATGGCGCCAATCGAAGGGCCTTGACACTCACTTCAGACGCAGGCAAGTTGGACGCAGGAATGGCGTACTCGGGAAAGGGGGCCGGCCTATGGCCATGTGCACCACCGATAACAGCTGCAAGGGCTACTAAAGAAGCTTTGAGCATGGTTCCCCGGCAACGCGAAGCGCGGTGCGTGCAGCTCGCAAACCCGGATCTCTCCATGATGCTTTACTCCCTTCATGCGAACGTAGGCATCCGAAACTTCTTTCGATTCATGTTGATTTGTCTGCTGTTCTGTTTGCTTCTTCTCTCCCCTTCCCCACCCTCCCAAACACACGGCAACGCAGAACCAACGAGGGAGAGACATGACTATAACGACACAGCCACATCAGCAGATTCAGCACAAAACACAGGCACCAGAAGCGACACAAGGCAGGAAAGGAAGCAGCCAGCCATTCGTCTCACTTCAGGCCCGGCGTGCATGCAAACTATCAGGCCAGGCACACGAGGAACATGCGAAAAGGGGCCGGTCAATCGAGACACACAGACGGATGAAAAGATGCGACAGTCATCCTTGTCCGCATGGATAGCTGCCTTTGCAATCGTTGGCGGCTTCAGTCATTTCCGTCGCTGCTCGAGCTCGTCTAATATGTCTTCAATGTTTTCGTCGGCTGCTGGTGCTGGTGCTATCGCGCTCTCTCCTGTCTTCTCCACATCGATGGCCGCTTGACGCTCGCCGTCGTGGGGTGCTGGGGCCTCGTTACCGTCGGCAGGAGGAGTCAAAATTGCTCCTTCCGTCGGCAAAATGTTGTCCAGCTTGTCCTCTTTCGACTCGACAGGGGGGCCCCACCAAGTTTTGCCAATCCCGCAGTCATAGATGAGTAAGATCAGCGTACTGGCTCCAACCGCACACCCAAAAAGAATGCCTACGCCACCAACCCCGTCGTCTGTCAATGGAGTTGTCTCTGAGGAGAAATCGATCACACGTTTATCTTCTTTGCATGCCTGTGGCGAAGAAAATAAGGGAAGAAAAACAGAAGAAAGAGAAAACGTTTCGTTGCCTTTTTCGTACCTTTTCTTGAGGGTTGAAAGGCATGAATTGTCCCAGAATCTTGTCGATCTCGCTTTGAATGACGGCCTCGGCAATCATTTGATTCATCGCAGCGACCACGGGAGCTTGATCCTAGATGTATGCAGAATGCACAATACAGCATGCGTCAGCGAGATTTCTGAGCGAGTCCATGAAATTACCATGCCGCTTCTCCAGGGAATTGCGTACTGAATGATGCTGAGAGGATGGCCGATTGTTTTGAGGTCGCAGAGTTTTCGGTCCGATAGCTCCCCTCTGAAGTGTACGTCCGCCCCAACGGACGCATTGCAGCCCCCTTTTAGAATCTCTTTCAGGCTCTCCTCTGGGCTGATACATATTGAGTGAGAATCGATGAAGCATGATATGATTATAATCTGTCTCCCACCTTCTCACTGGTTTTTTCCCGATGTCGTTGTAATGTCTTCCTAGCCATGCCTCCTCCCAACGCGTCCAGTAGCAGATGTGTGTATATTTTGAAAGACTTGGATTGGGCGGTCGTAGATCATCTATTGACTTAAAACACACACACACACACACACACACACACACAAAATTCACCACTCTCTCACCCACTTTTTCGATCAGCTACCGGTACCGTGATTCGCCCCTCCCCCTGAGTGGTAAGGAAGGCTGCTAGGTTTGCCGTCCACGCCGCGAGAATCATCAGGACAAAGAAGGAGAAGCCCACTTGTAAGAACCGACCTAATGACATATAAAAACAGAAGAAGTGACATAAGAGAGCAAAGTATGGCTTTGTGGAGACCAGCCCAAGTCTTCGGTGAATGGCCTTGGACTTGAGTGAAACTGGTAATCGTGTGCCATGATGATACTCCGATTTGCTTCAAAGTCGAAAATCTGTCGCGATATATAAGCATGTCTTCTTCTTTCTGCTGTTCAAACCACCACATGGTGACAGCGAAGAGAACGAGGACGGTAACAATCAGACCCCATGCACCACCCGTGAAGGGACCGAAAGGAAGTGCCATAGCATTGACATCCTCAAACCCTGAGTGTTTCGCAACCAACACTCGACCGGCTGGAACCTGTTGAAACGCCTGTATGTATGTGAAGAAGACTACATTCGGCTCTTACGTGGGGAGTCAGAAAGTGCACTCGGTCCATGTATTGTGAGTCCAAAAATACAGACTCCAGCGCACAATCGTATTGCGGAGTGGTCGATGGGTTGAGATAATACAGGATTTGTGTCCAGTGGTCTGCGTCGCTGTCCGTCTGATTGGCGTCTGGATCCGCAACTCTTTCGTTGACGGCGTACAGCCTGAAGTTAGCACCGCTTTCGTCAGCAATCCATTTCATCAGCCTAACAAGGAGACATACAAAGACGAACAAGACAGCACACGTTCTCTTGTTTGTGCTTAAGAAATTGAAGAAATGGTGTCACCTGATGTTGACGCCCTTTAGATTGTCAGTGACGTCCATACGCTCGTCAATACCCATGGCCTCGAGTGAGCCGATAAGGCCGGAGACGTCTGTGCGTTCTTCAGGGATGGTATAGAATTTGTTGACCGCGTGGCGCAGCCAATATGCCGACCTGGAGTCTCCGCGAAACCACGTGATAAAGCAGTTGATGTCTCGGCCTCGGAGGACAGCACGGGGATCCTCGACGAGGCCAGTAGTGGAGTTGAGGTGGTCAAGGTAGCTGTCAGCTGGGACCCCTGAGGGCCCTGCTTCTGTGGTGCGTTCGGGGCTCGTACTCAGCGTTGTGCTGAGATCAGGCGTGGACGACGTCGTGGACGTGCTGAGATCAGGCGTGGACGTGCTGAGATCAGGGCTCTCAGTGCTGGTGGTCTGGGCGAAAGCAACCCTGAGGAGGGAGCTCAGCAGCAGGAAATGAAGCGGCGGCATCTCGGAGTCTGCTCAAATTGGGGCTGCAGGGGCGCGGACGCTGAGTGTGCCGGAGAAAGGAGAAGATGGGGGAAGTGGGGGCGATCGCAAATCTGCGAGCTCAAATGCGAAAGAGAGGCATCGGCTCCAGTGACTCCAGTCGCCTGGTTAGGGACACAACAAGCCAAGGCATTGCTAGTATGGATGATCCCAAGCCAGATCCGATGCGCTTCTGTCAGGCCATCGACAGCCGTGTGGACCAGATGCAGACCGCCGGCGCTTCATCCCCTGACCGCAATACCGCATCAGCGCTGCCAACTACCGACACCGCTCCCCTCTCCTCGCAGCACGAAGATCCAGCAGACGACGATACGAAGACGGGTGCAGCTGACGATGCGCCAGCGCACGGAGAAGTCAGCAGCAACGGGCCAACCGAGGCAGCAGCTGCCGCCATGAATGCGAGGAAGGCGTTCAGGCGCTTCACCAGTGGCGTGGAGCTCGAAGGCCATGCGGCCACCACGTCCTTGGACCACCTGGAGATAAGCAACGGTGCGAGAGATGAGTCGCCCTTTCCCATCCCGCTGCCCAATGACGGCGCCAGCAGAGTGACTCTGGATGTCGTCGAGTCGTCAGACGAGGAGTTGGCTGTCAGCAACACTGAGGCAAGGCTGAAAGACGAGTCGGCCAACGCCGCACAAAGGCTTTCCGCCTCTGCAATGAGGTCAGAGTGATGTCAACACGAGGAGACGCAACCAATCTGTCTGGTTGTGAGCAGGCATCAGTTGATTTCGTACCCCTGCTGGGAGGGGGGTGGCTTTTTGTTGGAATGTTGCTGCAGTTCTATTCTGCGAGGCATTTCTTTGGTTTGTGTGGCATGTATGCCTCTGTCTTTCTTTGAGTGCGAGCCTTCACTCAATGTTTTCTGCATGCGCCCCTGAGTGCATCGAATGCGCGTGAACTTTACGGCATGATTTGAATGATTCATTGCTGATGGTCATTCCCACAGTAAAAGAGCCAAAACAACATGAGAGCGCCACATCAGCACAAAACACGGTCAAGAGACAGAAGGGGAGGGGGAGCGGGGGAGATATCAAAAATAGCACAAGAGGCCACTTACGCAACACTTGCGCACCACAGCAGCTTGCGCATAAGACAGCCGAAACACACCGGCTGGAGAGATGTACCAGTGCATGTGACATGGAAGAAGAGCAGTAGTTGTGAATTAGACGCTTGATGGTTGCTCTTTCTCGATATGTATGGCACTCGCCCCCTCATCAGCGCGAGCAGTCTGTGTTTGGTCGACGCAAAGTGCCTCCCCATCCTGGACACGCAATGTCTCTTTGTCATCGCCTGGAGAAGCCAAAGCGCCGCTTCCTCGTTCTTCTCCTTCTTGTGGCTGTATGCTGTCCAGCTTGTTTTGCTTCGCGTCCTTGTCGAAAATGTAGAAGACGAAAAAGCTGAGAATCCAAGCGATGCCAAAAGCAATAAGTTTTCCGCCGATCCCTTGGCCGTTCAACGCCTCAGCCTCTGAGTCGTCGCTTCCGCCTTGGTCACATACCTAAGGCCAAAGAAAAGAAGAATGGTATAGGTGCTTGGTCTTTTTGCTTTTTTCACACTGACATCGTGCTGAGGGTTGTAAGGCATGAATTCCGCCAAAATCTTGTCAATCTCGCCTCCTGCGTTTGCCTCAGCAATCATTTGATTCATCGCAGCGACCATTGGGGCTTGGTCCTAAACCCAAGTCAAATACAGTATGTTTCACCTGAGTGACTACATAAAGTTACCGCGCCGCTTCTCCAGGGGATTGCATACTGAATGACATTGAGTGTTTGCCCAATCATATTGAGCTTGCAAATCCTGGAATCTGACAGCTGGCTTCTAAAATGCACGTCTGTGGCGATGGCAACATTGCACTTTCCTTGCAGAATCCCCCAGAGACTCATCCTGGGACTAATCCGTTAGATGTTGATCGATGTGACAGAAAGAAAGAGACATGAAGGATGAAACAATAGACTCGGTATCATCTTATATGTCCCTCGGTACTTTGTGAACGTCCTTATACTGGCTTTCCAGCCATTCCCTCTCCCAGGGGCTGTAGCACATCCTCAAATCTGTCCCGAGGTTTCTCACGTCTTCTATGGACTGAACAAAAGCAGAACAATACCGTGCAAACCCCCTGCTGTCTTAAACAGTTGGCCTTACTTTGATCTTTTGCTCTGTTTGGGTGTTTGTAAGAAACGCAGTCAAGTTTGCCGTCCAGGCTGCGACGATCAGCACCACAAACAAGGCGAAGCCCACCTGCAAGAACCGACCTAATCACATAGAAAACTAGGACTGCTCTGACTGTGAGATGATTGGTTTCTTCCTACCAGCCCATGTGTTCGGCGTATGACCATCAAGCTGGGTGAAAGTTGTTATGGTAAGCCATGATGATTTTGCCAGCCTTGCCAAAGGATCTTTATGTTCGATCATCTCTTCTTGGTTCCATTCGAAGAGACACATTGAGACCGCATAGTAGAGGATGCTGACAGCAATTATCGTCCATGCTTCCCAAGAGAAAGGGGCGAAGGGAAGCCCAAGGGCGTTGACAGCTTTCTTCACTGGTCCCAACACAACTAAGACACGGCCGGCAGGAACCTGCATAGACAAGAAAGCAAAGGGAGGAAAATTATCGACGCGGTCCGAGTGAAGAAGTTCTATTCGGCTCGTACGTGGGGAGTCAGGAAGCGCACTCGGTCCATGTATTGTGAGTCCAAAAATACAGACTCCAGTGCACAATCGTATTGTGGAGTGGTCGGTGGATTGAGATGGTAAAGAATCTGCCTCCAATAATCTGGATCAGTCTGCGAAGAGTTGTTTGGATCGCTCTCTGGATCCGCAGCTCTTTCGTTGACGGCGTACAGCTTGAGGTTGGCATTGGTTTTAAAGGCAATCCATTTCATCAGCCTAACGAAGAGACGCCATATATATGTGTCATGCGGAGTATGGATATTACCTGAGGTTGACGCCCGTCAGAATGTGTGTAACATCGATGCGCTCATCAACATCCATCTGGATAAACTCCCGAATCTGATCCTCGACATCAACGTGATCTTCCGCGACACCATGAAATTTGTTGACCGCATAGCGCAGCCAATATGCCGACCTGGAGTCTCCGCGAAACCACGTGATAAAACACTTGATGTCTCGGCCGCGGAGGACAGCACGGGGATCATCGACGAGGCCAGTAGTGGAGTTGAGGTCGCCCAGGTAGCTGTCAGCTGGGTCTTCAGAAGGCCATTCGGTTGATGTTGGCTCGGGGCTGGTACTCAGCGTGGTGCTGAAGTCAGGCGTGGACGTGCTGAGATCTGGGCTGTCAGTGCTGCTCGTCTGGGCGGAAGCGGCGCTGAGGAAGGTCAGCAGCAGGAAATGGAAAGGCAGCATATCCGGAGCGCTGCGGACGTTGAGTGAGGGGGCTGCCGGGGGGCGGACGCAATAAACACACCGCGCTCGACAGAGGAGAGGGGCCGCAGACCTGTCGGGGAGCGGGGGATCACCGCGCGCTTGGGCGAGCAGTTTCACGGACTGCGCGCTTTCTCGTTTGAAAGCGAAAGAGCGGATGGCTCGCCTGGTTTAGACACAGCAAGCCAAGCCATCGCCAGTATGGATGATCCCAAGCCAGATCCGATGCGCTTCTGTCAGGCCATCGACAGCCTTGTGGACCAGATGCAGACTGCAGCCGCCGGCGCTTCATCCCCTGACCACAACACCGCATCAGCGCCGCCAACTACCGACACCGCTCCCCTCCCCTCGCAGCACGAAGATCCAGCAGACGACGATACGAAGACGGCTGCAGCTGACGATGGGCCAACACACGGAGCAGTCAGCAGCAACGGGCCAACCGAGGCAGCAGCTGCCGCCATGAATGCGAGGAAGGCGTTCAGGCGCTTCACCAGTGGCGTGGAGCTCGAAGGCCATGCGGCCACCACGTCCTTGGACCACCTGGAGATAAGCAACGGTGCGAGAGATGAGTCGCCCTTTCCCATCCCGCTGCCCAATGACGGCGCCAGCAGAGTGACTCTGGATGTCGTCGAGTCGTCAGACGAGGAGTCGGCTGTCAGCAACACTGAGGCAAGGCTGAAAGACGAGTCGGCCAACGCCGTCCACGGACACGTCAAGTGGGGGGCTTCGGGCACACAGGAGCCCACCGGTCGAGAAACGCCCAACTCTGACTCGTTCAGCCGTCTGAACGAGAAGTCTGGTGCCCGTTTCCTGCCGATGGGTGGGCAGATCGGTGCTGACGATGAAGAGCGGAAGGACCGTCTGCCGCGGGGTGTGATACTGCCCGACCACCGGCTGCTGTGGGACCTGCTCATGATACTGCTCATATACTGGCAGACACTGTACATTCCTTATGGTCAGTGGGAGGCGAAGGGACTGGGAGAGATGGAATGTTCATTGTCACTCTTGTGTGTGTGTGTGTGTGTGTGTTGTGTGTGCAGACATAGCCTTTAGTTCTCCGTCGGATGACGTACGCATTAATTCGTGGGACATCGTGGAGTACTGCCTCGACTTCCTATGGCTCATCGACATATTCCTCAACTTCCTCACCGGTACCTCCGCATGGCACACCTCCATTCATCCATCCAATCTCTCATGTGTGAATGCCATTCAGCGTACTACAATGACGAGCAGGTTCTGATAGTCAACAGGCAGCGAATAGCAATACACTACCTGCACACATGGTTTCCCATCGGTACGGAGAGCCACACAGCCACACACGAGCTGACAGAATCCTCTTCGCACATGTTCTTATCGGTGCTCAGATTTCATCGCCATCGTACCGTGGTCGTTGATTATTCAAGACTCCGACTACTCGTCCTCGCCCAAGCTCATCCGCTTTGTGCGATTCGCTAAGTACCTCAAATTCCTCCGACTGCTGAGGATACTCAAACTACGGTAACCAATCCAGAAATGCACGTGTCGGCGTGAATCCATTCATCCACCCGTCCTTCTCTCGCTTGGTCTGGGGATGTGTGTGCGTGGTCAGTCAATTGGTCAACCGCGTCCGCGAGCTGGTGGACTTCCGGGTAAGTGCCCATCACTGGCTGACTGAATGTCCCAGCGTCTGTCTGTTGCCATCTCTGTCTGTCTGTCTGTCTGTAGTTCCTCCCTATCGTCGTTGAGGCGGTGAAGTTGAGCGCCGTGCTTATTGTCGTCAGCCACTGGAATGCATGGTCAGTGAGGGACGAAACACGCCACAGCCCACAATCACCGTGTCGTGTCGTTACCCTTGTCAGTTTGTTTTGGTTGGTGGGGACCCTCACGAGCGAGACGGCCATCGGCCAGGACACACCGGTCGACACGTGGATCGAATCAAACGAGCTGCAGGGGCTCACCAGCTTCGGAAAGTAAACACACAAACACACACAAACACACACATACCGAGAGGAGGCCCAAATGCGCCCATCCGTTTACGCATGGCCGCCTCATCCAGGTACATAGCGACTCTGTATTGGTCGATTACAACGCTCTCGACGGTTGGCTATGGCGACCTGACGCCATACAACACCATCGAGCGCATATGGGTGGTCATCGTCATGATTGTGGGCGTGGCCGTCTTTGCCTACATGATATCCAACATTGCATCCATGGCCGTCCGCTTCTCCGAGTACAAGAATGAAATGGCCAAGAAATACGAAGACATCAATGGGTGAGCACAGACAGACACGGGAAGAAAGAAAAGAGGCGAGCCATACAGCGCCGATGTCTCCCTTCCTCCCTCTCTGTCTGCAGGTTTCTGCGGGACCGCAACATCTCCCCGGAGCTTCGCTCGCGCATCAAGCGCTTCATGGCGTATCGTCTGGACAACGACTATGTCACCAAGGTCGAGAACCAGATGAACGAGATGCTGAGCGACCCCCTCAAGGGCGAAGTGGCCTACGAGCTGTACAACGAGACACTCAGGATATTCCCCCTATTCGAAGACTGCAAGAAAACGGTCTGTGAGAGGGAGGGGAGGGGAGGGAGACGCACTTACAGCAGAACGTGCCCATCTCCTGTCTGTGTGTCGTCTTTGTGTGCTGTGTGTGTAGGTGATGACGCATTTGTGCCGTAAGGTCAAGAAGCGGCTGCTGGCTCGCGGCGATGTGTTCCTGCACGAAGGCAAGTGGTGCACGTCGATGTTCTTCCTGGTCAAGGGACGCCTTCACGCCACACGAAAGAAGAAAAACGCAGACGACGGAAGTGAGCGGCAGTAATGCACCCAGCATATACAGCACCGCATTATGCCATTCGTGTGTGGCATGGGTGGATGGCTGTATTGTATCAGCTTCTGGGGGGCTTCACGAGGACCTGTTGGCGCCTTGCTACATCGCAGCCCGCAGCCTGTTCATGGACTACGTCATGCACTACTCGTTCCACTGCGCCACCTTCTGCGAGATCGTCGAGATCCAGAAGGAGGACTTCTACGACATACTGCGGATATTCCCCAAGCTCAGGAAACCATTCGCCGTCATCGCAGAGCAGGTGAGTTGGGGGAGGACACGACGACAAGACAAGAGAACAAGGAAGGCCAACACACGGACACACGGACATTGCCCTTTGTCAATCCCTAGGTGAAGAATGGGGATTACACGAGCCTTGACCGTCACTGCGACACGTGCGGACGCGCCCGTCACCGCACCCAGGACTGCCCCTTCGCCCTGGAGGACCAGCAGGACGACAGCTGCTGCTGCCCCGGCACGCGACGGCGGATCAGGGATGCCGTAGTCAACTACTGCAAGAGAGCCCAGGCCAAGATCCGCCAGACCACTTATGAGAGGGACTCATCCATCATCGCCATCAGCGAAGACTACGACAGGTGAGGAGGAAGAGAGGGATGGGGGGGCCGATGGGGACATGGGACGGCCACCATACATAGATCGTCGCTGATTCTCACGTCTGTCTGTCTGTTATCCTTGGCTTATCATCAGGATATGGTCGTCGGGTCTGCCATCCGATCGCCAGCAGAGCACCGAAACAGACGCCAACGAGCCTATCACCACCAATGGCAAGGACAACAGCACCAGCAAGGCTAACAAGCAGCAGCAGCAGGGGGACGGTTCGTGGGTGTTCCGGAGCCTCACGCGCATCGTCACGCCATCAGGCGGGACCACAGGACGAGGCATGTCTGATGACGCCTTCGACTCCAGCTACAGCAGCCGGGCCAGCACAGGGGCCGCCGTCGTCAACAGGCAGCAGACACTGACACTCAAGGAGGGAGGCGGTGAGGGCAGGGAGGCGGGCAAGCCCGTCTACCCAGACATACCAAGCGAGTTCCTCAACTGATTTGAGATGGCAGGAAGGCAGGCCGGCAGGTTGGAGGGATAAGCGTGGGGCTGCGGACGCAGGTTTTGTTCTCGTCTTGTCTTACTGTGTGTTTGCGTCGTGTCTTCTGTTCGTGTCGGTGAGTGCATCGAGATGCCGGGCGCCACCGCGCACCGCCATTGCGGACAGTGGTGGTGTGCCGTCGTTCTGGGTGTCTTGATGGCTGTCCCGGCATAGCAGAATGACCGACCGACTGACCGACCGACTGACCGATAGAGGGATGGGATGTGATCGGGCGTGGGGTTCGGGTGCGTTGTGTTGGTGTCATTGCCCAGTACGGTAGAGGGGTGCGGTGCATTCATTCATAACTGCAATGGTGACGGGCACTTTTTATTGCCTCAGTCAGCAGGTCACTGAGCACACATGGATGGATGCGGGCCGTTTTGGTCCGCCAGTCTGGCTGGGCCTTCCTACATCCCTGCCTGCACGAGTGCCCTCACCCGTTTTGACGTACCCACTCCGACAGGCAGGCAGGCAGGCAGGCAGACATTCCTGTCAAGAGATGCGGCAGCTGGTGTGTGTCTTTTATCATCGAAGGGGTATTATCTATCGCATCGAAGGGTCCTTTTTATCTAGCCGGGAGCAGTCGCATCCGTCCACTTCTGTGTGTATGTCTTTATCGCTTCATCATGCATGTGCCTATACATGGGGTGGGGGGGCGGGAGGGGCAAGGAAGAGAATTGACGTGCGTGATCATTTTTTCGTGCGTCAGTCAGCAGCCGTCGGGTGTCTGTCTTGTCTGCCTGTCATTCGTCTGTCAGTGCCGAGAGCCATCCATGCTTCTGGCAACTTTAAGGCTCCACACGCACATGGCCGGCCGGGTGTTTTTATCTGTGCCTTGCAGCCTACCTTCCTACTCTGTGTACATGTGTGACGTTCGTGTGCTCGAGGTCGCTGATCACTGATGGATGCATGTGTGTGTGTGTGCATTTGGTCGTCGATCTGCCTGGTGACGGGCGTGGCGTTGCGGTGCGTGTGTAGCGGCCGGCGAGTGTTGGTGTCCTGTCTGACTGGGCAGAGTCATTGTACGCGGCTTACACTTTCTCCTTACTGGGGGTGGGTACTGCTACGGGGGGAGCAAGGGACAGCCGAAGCTGAACTCTCTCAGTGTCTGTGAGATCCATCCGTAGCTTACATCACCACCGACGGACTCCGTGTTTCTCTGCATCATCATGCCGAGAGACACCAAGTTGGTTGGGGGGAGGGAAAGCTGCAGATGGATGCCACAGGGCACGACAGCTGCTCGTGCATGGACCATGAGAGAGACTTGCTTGCAACAGATGTGACAGCGTATATGAGGAGGATGGCTTATACCAGTCATCGGCTGTGGTGATGTCGACTACGTCTCAGGAACGCTGTAGTCTCAGGAACGCTGACTCGTCGTTTCTGAGACCTGGTCAACATTACCACAGCACATGAATGGCCGGGGCCATCTGCAATGACCGCTTTATATGGACCCTTGACACGTGCATTAACACCCGAGCAACCACACAGACCTTTGTATCACCAACACACACGCGTTTTCAGCAGAGTGTCTCGACATCCACAAATAAGCGTCAGGGGCTTACAACACGTCGCATCTACGCATACATAGCGTCTTCAACTCTACAAACATCACGCCTCCTTAAGACACCTCACCCACTGCTTTGCTCCCTTCCTTCGCCCCACCAGCAGCAACATCGCCGCCCTCCCCACCAGTGGCAGCAGCACCAGCAGCCCCAGCCACAGGTGGGGGCTCACCAGCAGCCCGGGCCGCCGGCGGGGGCTCCTCCTTCTTCACCTCTCCTACTTGCGCAGCACCCACAACCTCGTCAGCGGCCGTGTCAGGCGCGCTATTGATTGGCTGCTCGGGCGCCTTCGCCACCTTTCCCTCCTCGGCCGCTGCTTTGTCAGGCTGGTTGCCGGGCTCCTCCTCTGGTTCACCCCCGCCCTCCTCGTGGGGATGTTGCGCCTCCTCGTTGTTGCCCTCCTCCGGCTGCTCGTCCGCATCCTCATTCCGCACCTCGTGTAGGATCTCGACGCCCTCAGGCGCATCACCATCACCGCCGCCGATGTGCACCGACAGCCCGGGGGCGATTGGAATGGCGCCGTCGCGTCCCGCATGCAGGACGGCTGCCCCTCTGCTGCCTGGGACGCCCAGCAGTGAGATGACGAAGCCAGCGTCGTCTGCCTCCTTGGCGCGGATGTCCTCGGCCTTGGCCAGCACCGTGATGTTCCACAGCGAGCCGACATGAGGCTGACCCCTGAAGCAACCAAACAGGAAGGAATGATGATTTGTTGTTATGTACTGCTACCATGTGGTTCTCCCGCATACCTTCTGCCGAAGGCCATGAGAGTGGCCTCGAAAGCGATCAAGTCACCTGCACGCAGAGGAAGAGAAAGACAACAGCTCATCGTAAGCAATCTATTCTTCAACTCTCTGCTGCTCACTGACCCACCGAGCGTCAGGTCCGACACCTGTCGATTCAGGTCACTGGAGAACATCAGACCTGACACACCCATCCCAACAGCCAGTGAGGGGCGAGGGCGTTGTGGTTGTTGCTCTGTGTGCGTGTATGGGCGCCCAAGGGCGCATGTGCGGATGCCTACCAAGGTCAGGGACGTGGTGCAGGGCCGGGAACTGGGGCGGATTCATCTCGACGTAGAGGATGTTCTTCGTCCACAAACCTGACACAAACAAACAAACGACACTCAATATGCATGCTGCTTTGTTGCGCCCTTCGGTGTGACCTTCTCTGATCTTCGCGACGCTTCCCTCCCATGTGACTGTCCGGCCCTTGAAAAGATCGTTGAAGGCCGTAGTGGCGTGGATCGGGTTGCCCAGGTAGCTACGATAACTACACACACGAGAAACGGCACATACACGCATTTATAATATCTGCACGGATCAGGTCGTAGTTTGGCCATTCTCACCCGCAGTGGCTGATAAAGTCGTGCCACGTCCTTTCCGTCGGAGGACCTGCACACAATGGGCCAACGCACCATACGCCATTCAACCATCCGTATGTGGGTCTTTGCTTGTGCGTCTGCGGACCTCTCTCGATCTCTTCTCTCATCAAGAAGAAGCCGGTCCACCTCAGCAAGGCAAACACGAATATCAGGCCCAGGATAATGCCCAGCGTCGCCACGTATCGCCTCGCCAACACCACTGCACAGCCGCCACATCGAAAAGTCATCACCTGACACACGCACACACAGGGACAGAGCGCGGTCACGTGTGTGTCGCCTGTGGGTGTGCCGATGATGCCCACCTCTTTCTTGAATGAGGGGAACTGGATGCGCTGTTTTCGGGCTATTGTGTTGATGCACCGAGGGCAAAAATGAACGGAGTCCTGACAGACAAACGACACAGACCATTCGTCCCTCATCGGTGCTTGCGTGTGTCCTCCTGGTTGTGTGTTGGTTGCCTGGAATATGGGCCAGAGGAAGGGTATGACGCAGAAGGCCGGCCATCCCACCACAATGACAATCACAAACGACATCAGAAAGGTCACCCAACTGTTCTGCAGCTCAACATGGGTCACCACATGCTGACCATACGAACAAACACCGAAGCGCATCAGTACGGAGCGCGGTGGCTGCACGAGGCGCCTGTGTGTGCGTCTACCTGAGTGCAGTAGGGGCACCAGCACTTGACAGGCTGATCACCGAACTCGACGCTCTGATTCGGATCCTCAGGAGCTGATCACCCGATGACGACAACAGATGGCAGTAGACAATGGCAGCGATGGCCATACCTTCCGGTTTTCACGTGCATGTGCTTGCGTCATGCCGCCTAGAGCGTACCTGGATCAACACTGAACGCGAATGGTCCTCGAGACCACGTGGTACCACGAGCGCGAGGCTCAGCGTCCAAATCCATTGTGCGCCAAGCCAGTCAACCCTGAAACACTTGGATAATCCCACTCCGGAAAGATCTAAGCGCGTGTCAAAAGCGCGTCGAGAAATCGCGTCGAGAAGCACCTACGCGAGCTCAAATCCGTCTCTCTTCAGTTTTTATTTTCCATCTCGTACAAGCTTCCAGCTGCTCCAGCGACGCCACAGCTCTTCCTTCTGTGCATCGGGTCGCCGTTTTTAGCCCACGGCCTCTCTCCCCATCAGACATGTCGGCCTGTGCGAGGGCCTGTGCCAAGCCACCCGCTGCCGACTGTCGTCGTTCCCCTGGAAATCCTCTTCGAGAATTGCGTCCTCCTTCAACTTGTGCACGTGCAACCTTCACAAAAAGGTACAGTGAGCATTCTCGTCTGTCCATCCACACGCGAGCAATTTCTTCTTCATTGTTCTTTGTCCGCCAATTTCACTTTGTCCAGTTCATCCGTCACTGTCCAGCACTGTCTTCGAGGTTTGAGTCCTACAGGAGTCAGGGGAATCTGCCTCAACAGTTACAGCTGCAACTGCACGAGACGAAAGCCCTCGCAAAGGAGAAGTACACACGGTAAGCCGTCTCGTCTGCCCATCCACACATTGTCAAGCCTCACACACGAGCGATTTGCACCATCTGCTTCCTGCTTGAGTCTGCCTGCCGTCACAGTGTTGGAGCGAAGCGGCAATGACCTGCAAATTCTGTCGAACCGGATCTAAAGACGTCATACATCTGCATATCATACATTTGTATCATGCGTGTGTGTGCAGCCATTGAATCGATGGATTTCTTTGAAGGGAAGGTGGCTGGTGAGGGCCGAGTCCGAGAGACAAGAGCTCTTGATAACGGTGAGCACTGCTCACTCGCTGGGCGCCAACAGCCATACAAGAATGCAGACAGACCTTTGTGTGCGCATCATGACACCCCTTTGTGTCACGTCATTCCCTCTAAGCGTTCACGGCAGCCAACCAACCACATCACCACGACGACCAGCAGCAGCAGCAGAAGGTACGAATAAATGATTCCACACATCTCACCACACAGCCATCCGTTCGTATCGTCTCCTTATGACTTTCTGTCTGTCTGTCTGTCTGTCTCTCTGTCTCTCTGTGTGTGTATTCAGGCGACTGACTGGCCGTGGGCTGGTCTGTTGGTGCACGCATTTTTGGGGTATGTCTCATTTGGATCGAATCATGATAGACTGTTCCCACCGACATGCCGCCCGATCCCGACGGAAGATCCTTTGCCGGCTGGAGACGCTCGTGATTGCGGTAAGGAGGTCGGAGGGCGGGTGGGCGGGAGAGGAGGAGGGAGCGAAACCTAGTGCCTTGCGCTGGCGTTGTGCTTTCAGAAAGAGTTCAGGTCTGTAAGGAAAGAGCCGATGCTGCGGAAATATTCATCACCAGTGTCGGCTCACGGGCGGTGGTGGGAGAGGCTTTATCAAACGCAAACTGTCAGCGCCAAGGTAAATGTCAGCGGTCATCAGACACCCAGTAGACACGAGCCGGAGACACCAAGGAGACCCAGCCGGAAGACAAGCTCAAGAAGCCCATCGACCGTGACCGCAGAAGGAGAGGCGAGAAGCCCCTCCTGACCGACGACTTCAGGCGTCTCGTCGAGCCAATGAAGACACCATTTGGGCCATCTGTTTGCTGTGTGCAGTGATGCTGAGTACCTGAATCTGGTCAAGTTCAAGAATATGACTGACGACCCCTACTTGGCCACGGCGAACTCGAGGGCTGTTTCTTGCTGCTTATCATTGGTCTTGTCGGGCCCGTATCGAGGCGACCGAGGTACGCCTCATTCGGATCGAATTATGACAAACACATTAAGCTGACATTATGTGTTCAGAAGGAGTTCAACGACACGAAGAAACAGCCAATGCTCCGACGGCATTCTGCCCCACAGGTATGCACACGGTCACGTTATTTTCCCCCCTTGTCATGCCATCCCCTCGTCTTCTTGCCATTTCTAGGCCATCCTATCCAAGCGGTTAGTTGATCGGGCTCTGACTCTCTGTCGCATACACACTGTGTCTCTACGTGTTATGTGTGTCTCAGTTGGTGCTGACGGCACTGTCGAAATATCGCCGGCAGCCCGTTACTGCATCAAAGAAGCCGATATTATCGTGGCCCTCTACAAGGGCATCACTAAACTCCTCAAGGCCAAGGAAGACAAACTCGCCAAGAAGGCCACCATCGACGGCAGCATCGAGACGGGCACGCCACTCCTGGCCCAGCATACCTCTCGTCGGCGAAGTGGTGAGCTTCTTCCAGATTGAGAGGGTGGAGGGGGGAGGGGATAGGGCGGTCCACCTAGAGAGCAAGAAAAGGGCCACCCACAGTGCTGTCCCTTCATCTGCAAAGCCGTGGTGGGACGAACTATATCACACACAAACTGAGAGCAGCAAGGTAAAAGTCAGCGTCCATCGATTGAAGATTCAGTCTTTGTTATTGATCTTGTCAGGCGCGTGTAGAGGAAACCAAGGCACGTCTCATTTGGAACAAGCCATGAGAAAAACATCACTTCTTGCGGTGGCCTTGTTTCTTCAGAAACAGTTCAAAGACGTGAAGAAAGCCCCGATGCTACGCCGACACTCCGCCTTGGACGTATGCACACTATCACATTGCTTTCCCTCACTGTCATACCACTCCCTCATCTTCTTTCCACTTTCAGGCCCTCCTCTCCAAGCGCATTGTCGAGCGGGCGTCAGAAAAGCGCCGCCATTCAGCGCCAGCAGTAAGCATTGGCACACGTTTTGTCGAGTATGGTCCCTCATGTGATATACTCGCTTCCAGGCCGTTGACCCCGACCACCACCAGGAGCAGCAGCAACAGCAGGAGCCCTTCCAGGCCGTTGACCCCGACCACCACCAGGAGCAGCAGCAGGAGCAGCAGCAGCAGGAGCAGCAGGAGCAGAACCGCAGGCAGCAGAAGGTACGGATAAATGACTCTACACATCTCACCACGCAGCCACGCTTTCGTACTGTCTCGTCGTGACTTTGTATCTGTCTGTCTGTCTGTCTGTGTCTGTCTGTGCGTATGTATTCAGCGCACGGGCAGTCCCTGGGTGGACGCCCTGCTGCTGGTGGGTTTCGTTTTCTCGCCCCAGTCGATTACATGTAAGGCCCCCCAGAGGTCGATAAAGGAGCTCAACAAGGCCAGCAGAGGTATGCACACTGTCATTTTCCCTGCTGTCGTTGAGGCTCCACTGTTGTTCAGGCAAGCGCCGCCACTTGTTGTTCAGGCTGGTGCTGTGGAGCGGCCACATGTGGCCGGCCCTCAAGGGGACTGCTTCAAGCCTTTCTTCAGCCGATCGCTACCTGCATTTTATATCGTCGGCAGTGCATCTACTCCCATACGTTTGCCTTCTTCTCTTACTCCTGGAGCAGCTCACGTCCACACAGAAACAGCCCATGCTCCGCCGACACTCTGCTCCAAATGTATGCACACTATAACATTACTTTCCCCGATCTTCTTTCCACTTGCAGGCCATCTTGTCAAGGACGCTGGTCCAGCATGAGGTCGCAAAACGCCGCCAGTCGGCCCCAGTGGTGAGCGTTGAGATACGTTCATAATCGAGAATGGTCCATGATATGATTTACTCCAGTTCCAGAGCAGACCAGTATAACCACCAGCAGCAAGAGCAGCAAAAGCAGCAGACGGTATGAAAGAATGAAAGAAAAGGCGAGAATGACTGTATGTGTGGGAGGGGCTGTTGTGCATGTGCCCTGCAGCCGATCGCTACCTACTTTTTATATCGGTCGGCAGTGCATCCACCTGCAAAGCATGAAGAGTACCCCAAAGTTGATCTCTCAATTGAATCGATGGATTTCCTTAAACGAAGTGGCTGGCGATGGCTCCGAGGGACAAGAGCTTGTCATAACGGTGAGCACTGCTCACTCGCTGGATGCCAACAGCGATGAAAGCACGCATGCAGACCCTTGAGTGCGCATCATGTCATCCCTTTGTGTGTCATGTCGTTCTCTCTAAGCGTTCGCGGCAGCGGTAAACAAGAAACAGCAGCCGCTGGACCACCACCACCAGCAGCAGCAGCAGGAGGAAGAGCAGAAGGTACGAATGGACTCCACATATATCAACCACACAGCCATCCTTTCGTTGTGTCTCCTTGTCTGTAATCAGAACAAGGGCTGGCCGTGGGTGGACCCCATCCTACTCACATGCTGGCTGCTGACGCCCCCGGGCGTCGATGATCTTTTCATCGGCTTCTGCGGCGCCAGAAACTGCGATGTCGTGCGATGTCGTGCGATGTCGTGCGATGAGAAGTTGCTCCGATTCGATCGCAAGGGAGCTGAATGATTGGATCATGGCTTGCCGGCCTTTTTGTGTTGTCGATGTGTGTGTCCTGCCTCGGACGGTCCCATGCTTTTGACAATCGTTGAATGGGACCGAGAGCTGCAGCCGAGCGTGCTGTCGACCGATTGGCGCCCATCAAGAAGGAGATTGCCATCGACCCAGACTCCGTCGCCAGGAGCCCTCCCTCGCCGCAACACTCCCGCTCACATCAGGCTGTTCAAGACCGACACAATCACCAGTCTGGTAAGGCTTCGAGAAGAGGACGGGCCCTGGCGACGTAGAGAGGTGACCTCTGCGTCTTGCTGGGTGGTTGTTCAGGTTCGGAAGAAAACCACCCGCCTGGAAAGCAAGGCAAGCCGTCAGATGACTGCTGGACGTAGACGGACTCACTCCAAAGTCAATGTGAATTCCTCCTTCAGGACCTGTGGCTCAAGGGCACCCCCCAGCAGCGGCGGCATTCAGCCCGCGAGGTACCCATACGCATGTGGCGCCTGTGGCGAGACACTACTATCGAGTGTTCACTTGTTGTTCAGGCTCGCGGCAAGACCTCAACGGACACGGCCAGCGGCCGACGGTACTCTGCCCCCGAGCGCCATCCAGCGCCACCGGCACTCAAGGGCGGAGAGGAGAGGGGCATCGACGTCGGGGGCTCGGCCGCTGCTGCAGCCATGTCTACCCACTCGGGGGCGGGGAGGGTGGCAGGGCAGATATCGCTGTCTACATCTTATATCCGGCGTGTCTTTTTTCCCACACCGATTGTGTCCGCTGGAGGGCGTGTTTAAGAGGGTGTCTCTTAACAAGGACAGTCTCTCTTCAAGAAGGGCTTAAGGCACATCAAAACCGAGCCCTGCTAAGGTGCCACTCATCACCAGAGGTACGCGCGCTACAAACCTACTTTGCCTCGTCTTCTTTTCATTTGCTGGCGATTCGGGCACAGAGGTTAGCTGGATATTCAAATGTGGTCAGCCTGACACACAATGCATCCCTCCGGCCATTCTGTGTCTCCCCACCTTTGTCAGACGATCCAAAGGTGCGGAGACACGTCCAATGCATGGATGCTGAGTACTGTATGACTCAAGGCATGGATCCTTGCATCTCTGCTTTTCCTTGTCTGTGATTGCAGGATTTGCGCCAGCAGCTGGAGAAGAAGGACAAGGAGTTGTGCAACATTGCAAACCTCAAGGAGGTGGCCGGGCTGGAGGCCCTCGATGAGTACAAGAAAAGTGTGCCAACCAGGAGAGAGCCCTCTCCACCATTCGCAGCCAGCTGGTCGAGTGCGAAGCCGAGAACGACTCACTCAAACGGCAAATCAAGGACATGGACCGTGATCGGTGAGGAAAGTCTTGAATGAAGGGTTACCCTACTCTGTGACAGTTCGTATGACAGTAACACACGAGAGGGGATGAACGGACAGCCACCCCGTTCCCCTGTGTGAGCTTGTCTGTGTGTGGGGGGTGGTTGTTCAGGTGCTTTCGCAGGCCAATGTCACTCATTTCTCTTGGTCTCCCCAGATGTTCCCAGGCTCGTGTTTGCTTTTGGGACGGAGAAGGCGATGAATGAGGCGCTCATTCGCGAAGTGCACTACCAACAGGGACTCATGGAAATGATGAACCCCCACGGCTATGACCGCAGCACTGACGCGTAAGGCAGAATTCTGACTCCGGGTCTTCCCTGGTCTTCACGCGTTCTTCGGCTCTTGGAATCCACCCTCTCTCTTTCCGAGGTAAGCCCACCATTTGAAATTCCTCCCTTCTCCCCCTTCCCTCCCCTTCCCTTCCCTCCCCTCCCACACACAAACACACAAGCACTGCTTTGTTTCGTTCTTCTCCTGGTTTACTGTGTTTGCCGTGTTTCTGCAGGAGTTTTCCTAAGACTGCGATGAAAAAGACAAAGAAGTCAAAGAACTCCACATTCATCGCAGAAGGGATATACAAGTGACATGCGTGGATTGAACGCAAAAGGCTCTTTCATATGTTCTTGTCTGATCTGCCCGCGTGTGTGTTTTCATAGAAGTGGAACGAGATTGACGAGGACAGAAAGCCCACCGAGGCCGACAAGAAGCAGCAGGTGGGTGAGTGGGTGGGTGGTGCACCTGGCCTCATGCTGCCTTGCGTTTCGGCCTTTCGTGCAGCCACCCAGGGCCTCAGCGCCTCGCCCAGCCACGGAGGCAGGTGCGTTCATGTCAAAAGAGAAGGGACGGCTTGATTATCACACTGTGTCATCTGTCAGGCCTATCTTTAAGAGAGCTGCAGCCGAGCATCCGTGTGGACCGATTGGCGCCGCTGAAGAAAGAGATCACTGTCGACTGCAAATTTGCCTCCAGGAGCCCTTCCTCGCCCGACACACCCGCACACATCCGCCTCTACAAGACAGACACGATAAACAGTTTGGTAAGGGTCCAGAAGGGTGTGGCAGGTAGCGACGTACAAATGTGACTCTTGCGTCTTGCTGAGGTGTCATTCAGATTCGAAAGGAGATCATACGACAAGAGACCAAGGGAAGCCCTCAAATTAGTGCTGGACGTAGGATATGTCGCGGCATCGTATTTTTCCTCTGTGGCCATGACATAGGAGATTGCCATCGACCCAGACTCCCTCGCCAAGAGCCCTCCCTCGCCGCCCGACACCCCCGCTCACGTCCGGCTGCACAAGACCGACACCACGACGAGTATGGTAAGGCCTCGAGAAGAGCACGGGAGCTGGCGACGTAGAGAGGTGACCTCTGCGTCTTGCTGGGGTTGTTGTTCAGGTTCGGAAGGAAATCATTCGTCTGGAGAACAAGGCAAGCCGTCAGATGACTGCTGGACGTACACGGACTCACTCTAACGTCAATGTGAATTCCTCCTTCAGGACCACCTGTGGCTCAAGGGCACCCCCCAGCAGCGGCGGCATTCAGCCCCCGAGGTACCCATACGCATGTGGCGCCTGTGGCGAGACACTACTATCGAGTGTTCACTGGTTGTTCAGGCCCGTGTCAAGACGTCAAGCGCCATGGCCAGCGGCCGACGGCACTATGCCCCCGAGAACCATCCAGCGCCACCGCCACTCAAGGGCGAACAGAAGAACGGCATCGACGTCGAAGGGTCGTTCGCTGGTGCCGCTGCCATCGCTGGGGAGGGGGGCGAGAAGAAGGAGGCTGAAGAGACTGCTCCGGCTGGTGCTGAGGCGGCTGGGGGTGAGGGTATGCCACTGCACGCTGTCGAGGGCGAGATGAAGCCTGGGGGGCATGCCGCCGCACCCGGGGCCACGCTGAGGCAAGCTTTCAGATTACTGCTAGACGTACATGATTCTTTGGCATCGTATCTTCCCTCTGTGTCCGCAGAGCTTCAGATATACAGACACCAAGGCGGGGATGTGGAGTGAGGGAAGCGGCGGACAGCGTGGCTCCAAGGCCGCTGCTGCGTTCTTTCTTTATCCTATCGCTACCTACATTTTATATCCGTCGGCAGTGCATTTACTTGCGAAGCGTCCAGAGTGTGTATGGGTGTATGAGCGTGTCCTAAAGTCGATGTCTCAAGCAAGCACGGTGAGCACAGAGAGCGGCAAAAAGTAGGTGCTCAACAACCTCGAAGACAGGGGAAAATTATTCTTGTCTTTCTCTCGTCATGAGTTTGTATTGTGTGTGTCTGTCCTTCAGATGGACTATGAAGGCATAAGAGACACTTGCCAAGATTCTTACGCGCTAAGAGAGAGAGGTAAGTAAGCGATCACTACCACGGCAGACATTCGTGCCAACATGCCTTCGTTTGTGTGCGGCTTGGGCTGAGGGTAGAGGTCAGGCAGTAGCCGTATCCCACTCAGAGGAGGCTGAAAGCCTTAGGCATCAAGACGAGCGGGGCACAATGAGTTGGTTGCAACGAGGTGGGGATGCCGACGACACAACAAGCATTCCCTCGTTCCCTTCTGGCTGTCTGGCTGTATGTGCAGCTCACCATTCAGTACCAGCAGCTGAAGTCGCGCTCTGCCGGGCTGTGGGACAGGGTTCGTGAGATCCTGCTCATAGTCTCATCGAGAAGAACAAACAGTACATACACTTCTTTCCTGGACACGGGGGGGTGGGCGCTGACAGAGATGCTGACAGAGATGCTCGGGGGCGAGTGCCGAGAGAACGGGGTGAGCAGAAAATCAGTCGCACGCATGTGCGTGTGTACTGACGTACCTTCCTTTGCGTGCAGACCAAACTGGAAAAGAGCAGCGTTGCGAGTTCGAGGCCAAGACGAATGGAAGACGACGACTGAGGTAAGACGAAGACAAGCAGACCACATTGCGCCCATCCATATATGTGTGCGAATGTCACCCTCTCTAATATGTCTGTGAGCAGACCTGGCGGAAGCGCCAACAGGAGGCCGACGAGAAGCACGAAGCGGACATCCAAAGGTGTGCGTATTTCACTGGTGTTCGAATCAGGGCAGGAAGGCAGCTCTGTAACTCTTCCCTCTCTCCCTTAATGCAGACTGACGAAGAAAAAGGACGACTTCAGGATCCAAGTGCAGGTGTACAACTTTGCTTTCACGGAGGAACGGCAGCAGAGAACTTCGCTACAGGTGGGACACTGATGGATTTCCAATGCAAGTGCGCCTTCATTTGTGTGCAGGAACAGTTGACACAGCAGGAGACGGCGTTCGAGGAAACGACAGATGACATGGAGCGGCGGATTGACGTGAGACGCACACACACAGACCACACACATGGATCCTTGTCTGTATGCACTCATGTCTCTTGGCCCCTTCCCTATCTGTGGGTGAGCAGGAGCTTCATCAGCAGCGGCAGCCGACTGAAGCATCCAGCTGGCGGCACACCCACTCGGGGCGGGGAGGGTGGCAGGGCAGATATCGCTGTCTACATTTTATATCCGGCGTGGCCTTTTTCCCGACACCGATTTTGTCCGCGATGGCACATCTCTCCTTCTCTCTCTCTCTCTCTCTCTGTGCGTGTGTGTGTGGCTGCTTATCAGACTTTTGAGACATCTTACTGCTTCGGCGCTTTTCCTCCTCTGTTTGTTGTGTCCCTACTCGCTGTTTGCTATGACAGCGGAGCAAGGTGAGCACCATCACTACTTTCCCTCCACCTTGCTGCGACGTTGATGCTGGTGCTTGTGCTGGGGGTGTGTCTGTGTGTGCAGGCTGCTTTCAAAACCTTACGTAGACCTCTATCACCCAAGCCAATCGGTGAGCCGAATGAATGCAGACACGAGAGGCAAATGTGAAGGGGCGGCGGCAGTCACTGCGTGTGTGCCATGTGTCTTCATTCAACCCTGCGTAGTTGATTGCGTCGTCTGGTGCGACGCCGCTGAGGACTCCAAGACCGATCCACTCTTGTATGGTTGTTCGACATCAAATAGTAAGTACACAAGAAGGAGGGGCTAGGTACTGTATACATGTGTGTTTCTCTGGGTGTGTTTTTCAGCCGCCACGATGTCCACCGGAATCGACGTATTCTTCCAACGTATACTCATGTGGGGAACGCGTGCTTCTCAGAATACGTTGGCGGAGCTGAGGAGCGAGAAGAGGCGCACTTTTGCACTAGAGGCGAGTGCACAGGTGAGTAACTAGATGAGTGAGCTCCGGCCATATTTACTCTTTCTGAAGGAGTTGAAGGAGCAGCTAGAGGAGAGAAACCAGCAGTTGCTAGCTATGGGGAACAAATGTGCCGACCACGAGAGCCTTTCCGCCGCTCGCATCGAGCTCATCCAGTGCAAGTCAGAGAACGACTCACTCAAAAAGCAACTCAAGGATTTGGACGGCAAATGGTGAGGAGGGGATGAGAGGGAGGGAGGGAGAGGGAGTCAATGAGGCAGCCTTTTGGTGCAGCTGAATGTCATGCCCCGCAATCGTGAGCTGGAAGAGATGTGGTCATCTCCTTGGTGTGTATGTGCGTGTGTGTGCGTGTTTGTAGACGTGTTGGCAGTAAGGGAGGCCCTACCCAACCCCCTTGCGCAAGTTCCGTCAGTTCGACGTGGTGAGAATTGCCTGCTCGAAAGAACTCCGGCACGCACCAGCCTGTATATGTGAGTGCTCTGCCTCAGCCGGACCTCGAGCAGAGGTGCAGGGCAAGGGGTGTCCCGGCGTGGATTAAACCACAGAGAGAGAGCAGCCGAAAGGTACAGATTATATTTCCCACGAAAGCAACACCAAAAGCATCAGGTGTCCATTGCGTGTTGCAGGCGATTCTGATAGATCGGGCAAATTCGAGGAGCTGGGTGAGGAAAAGAGGCGCAATCGGCAGCTAGAGGCTCAGACACAGGTCTGTAGAGAGGAATGCAGCCCGGTGAACATCCCTGCATATCTGCTCTGCAGTCCGTGCATCCTCCGGCAGCGACTACCGAGCGCTGTTCTGGTAGAATTGTGCCTCTGGAGATCCGGTTTCTTTGACTTTCTCTTTCCTCCCCCGTCCAACCCGCCCCGCCTCGCCCCGCCTCGCCCCGTCCCGCCGCCCGTGCCTCGATGGCGACGTCAGACGACGTACGCGGCTCCCTCTCCCGAGAGAGCACCATGAGCAACACGCAGGTGGGAACGATCAAGGACACCCCAAGGAGAGGGACAGCCAACACGCTGTGGGTGTGGGGATGAGTGCGTCACAGGCCAGGACGGATTACGATCAGCTCAAGACACGCTACGACGGCCTGTGGGAGACGATTGAGGTGAGACAACTATGCACCCATCCATTTTATGTGTGCATCTCACCTTGTCTGCGAGCAGACCCTGCGAAAGCATCAGCAGGAGGCCGGCAAGATCCTTGCACAGGGCTCTGCCTGCCTGTGTCCTGTGGGGATTGCAGGAGCTGGGTGAGCAGTGGGGAAACACGGACAAGTAGTGCGCACCATGGCCACCCTCAAGGGGGCCCTCCAAGAACTTCCAGGTACAGAGTTGGTACCAGAGAACGCATTCATGCGTCCTTGTCTGTTCTGCCTGCGCGTATGCACAGGAACGATCAGGAGCACCAGAGACAGCAGGTGGGTGGTGATGCATTGACTGGCATGTTCTTGAGTTCAGCCAAGATTGCGATGTCTTTCTTCAGTCCATCGTTGTCTACATTTTATATCAATCGAGGGTGCCTCTTTATGGAAGAGTTGCGGAAACGCGTCAAGATGCGCCCTTCTGGTGAGTCGACGAGGTGAGAATGGCATTTACTCCCGATTGCTGTCGCACCTCAGACCATGGATCATCAACCCATTTACGCAGTACAACCGTTCACCAGTTGCAACAGTCTGACTATCTCGGCTGAGTAACCCCCCCCCCCCCCCCCCCCCCC